ACGGCGAACGGTGGAGGGAGGTGTGTAACAAGCGATTGGTGGTGTCGGCATCGAACCTTTGGGTTCGCTAAGCCTTATTATTATTTATTATTATTATTATTATTAAATGAATTAATATAATGAGGTACTATTCACTCATGAATACCTGTAACCTACCTACTGCATTCGTAAGATTTGATCACAAAAAGGTGCCAATTTTTTTTTTTTTCTAACCCCCAAAACATTTATTTAATAAAGGTACCAAACAAAACTACTCAATATAATGTTCAATATAACCTCGTTATTTTGACGAGTAGGGGTGAAGATCGCGCAAAAGGTCCATTATTTTTACGAGCCATCTTTTATTTACTCGATTTTGTGTTCAAATTATCTTATAATAGAAATGGAATGCAAATGGTTGTTTATGAATTTTAAGTACCTCGTGAAATTGACAAAGTTTACCGATCTTCAGATTGAAATCTCCCTATATCCGAGAATTTTCGTAAATAAACAAATTGTAGGTTACGATGACATGAAGCCATTTACGAAGTATTGGACGAATTTTAATAATTTGATGAAAAGTGGTATGAACAGCGCATAATAAGAATAAAGTAGCACTATGTGAAAATTAAAAAAAAAAAAATGTTCATATTTAGCTCAAAACTTGAAATAATGGTGCGTCTTAGAAGTGTGGTTGGGACAAGAGGCGTGTCTTGTGTCCACGGTAGTGTGACGTATAAGGTTACCAAACACGATGCTCTTTGGGCTCTCTTTGCTCTATTTTATAGATATAAAATTGTATGATAAACAACCTTCTTTAGGTTATTCATATTTTTTGTAAGATTTTTTAATAATTATTATATCCAATCTATATGTGATTATTTTTTTATAAAACCCCTTTTTTAATATCACAGTATTTTATTACAATTCGAAAACATTTTTACAATATTTAAAAATTATAATTTTTAAACGTTTCGGCTCCAAGAGCGATTTTCAATAATTATTTTTCAATAAAAAAACAAAAAAAAAAACATTATTACCAAAATATATCCGTATGTAGAATACTATATAATATATTTATATATAGTTTTATTATATATTCTATAAAGATAGAAAAAAAATTAAGGTAAAAAGTTTTTTTATTTCTTCTTTTTTTTAGTTTTGGTTTTTGTCATGCTTTAAAAAAAAAAGTTTGCTTTTAATTATAATATTAAAAAGAAATGTTTAATTACAGTAACAAGTTTTTGATAAAATGAAAAAAAGTAGAGAAATTTTGTGGATTTTCGGAAGAGAAATGAAAATAAAACAAAGCTTTTTATATGCAATAAAACGAGTACAGCCATAGCGTAGTAAATTATGCTTTTAATATGACTAATATTTTTTTAAAGAAGAAGAATTTATGAAAATGGCTCTTAGAGCCGAAACGTTAAAAAATAATAATTTTGAAATATTTTAGAAATGTTTTAAAATTGTAAATATTGTAATTATATATAGTTTAAATATAATAAAATTTTATTAAAAAATAAATAATATTTAATATTTCTATTCAGAGACAATAGAGAGGTTTAAAGCTGGCAACACTATTCTCATTTAAAAAGTATAAGATAATCAACAATAAGTGGCAAGGTGGCTGGCTTTTTCATCATCTCGTAACGCAACTCATTCCCCACCACTTTTCTTCAACCCTAATTATCTTTGTCTTTAGAAATTGAAAATTCACGCAAGTACCCAATAGGCAAAATATTTAATTTCATTAATTAATTACAAAATACTTAATACATTTTATGTTTATAAATTAATGCAATCACTCATCAATCAATTTTCAATATTAAATCTGTTTATTACTTGTGGTAATTACCTTATTTATCTGAATATTCCATTATTAGATACAAGAGTTTTATAATATATCTCCTGTTAACTTATTCAATCCCTGAATATTTGTTACTAAACAGTTGCTGTTATTTATATGAACGTATTTTAAAAGTAGAATTTTTGGTTAATTATTTCCATTAATGAACCATTATAATCGTTAAAAACTTACTCCCTCCTTCCATTCAAAATTTGAGATTTTACGTTTCAGGGTACGTAGAACTTGAAAATCGAGTAAATGTGTTTTATCCATCGGATGTCCATGCATTTTCTCCGAGCTACCAGACCGATTTTTTTTTTTCAAATTAAGAATCAAACCCGAGAATGATTCTCTTACCTCGGCATTACTATCCGCCGTTTCCTTTCAAGATGTGGCCAAAAACCTGTGTTGGTATAGACTGTGGTGCCTAAACGAATGTACCAATTTCAATGTAAGTTGGCTGAAGTCTTCTACTCGATGCCGTTTAAATTTATTTATATAACATACTTTAACGAAATGAAGCTGGAAAAAAATTATGAGGGGTGGTAAAATTACATTTCAGAATAACTCAAAAGGTATACACTTTTTGTTAATATTGTTATGGTTTTTAAAAATCGGAAAAATGAAAAGGTGCTCCTTTATTATATCCTTTGTTTTGTTTTTTATTATTGAATGTGTTATTGATGCCTTACTATTTTACTTAGAAAATACTAATGTTGAAAAAAAAATATTTAGGCCTTTCATGTATTTTTCTTTATGTTACTAGAAGGTTAATGTTACTTCAGATGTACAATTGTTTGGAGTTAACAAACCATTGTGTAATAATTTTCAGCGTTGTTGTTTACGTTAAAAGTTCGAACGACAAATTTAAAAATAAACTGGAATAAAAACTTTCCTTATTAAAATAAAAATATTTTCTAAATTATTTATAAATACAAGGTTTATGTAAGGTAATTAATATTAGAATAAAAAATTCATTCAGTTCGGTCTGGGTTCATTCACTTTCGTAAAGCGAAAGAAGTAAAGATAAATTGGGAATAAAGATAACCCGATCGCATTCCAGCAAACCTCTATTTATCCAGCAAGTTATGGTATATTGCTTATTATGTTTTATTTATTTTTAACTAGAAAACAATAATCTATAGGCTTAGTAGAGCCGTTACGCTTATATAATTAACAAATTAAATATACGAAATAACAAAACCTTCTGGAATTTGAACTTAATGCATAAATTAGTTCAGTGTCTGACTAGGCTCTTTCTGGAGGAGTCCACAATATATTTAAGGTGATTTTTTTTTATTTATTGATGATATTTACAACTGTATTAATAAATAAAATACATTTAGTAAATTTGATAAAAGAAAATAATAACATGAAATCACTTGTTGAGAAACTACCCACTGGTAGCACTCTAAAAACAAAATGTATTTTCAATAAGAGATCTCGAGGCCATCTTCTTTTCAGAAGCCTAGGAGGGTTATCAGGAATAGAAGAGGAAGCAAGGTTAGAGACGAGAGGATTCGGATGGTTCTGAAGTTTATTATGGAAGGATTGGTATCTATTTAAGGTGAATAAATTTATAACAGAATCTATGATACTTACATATAAAATCATAATAATAACACAGAAAAAAATTATTGAATTTAAAAAAAAAATGTCTTTAAAAAAAATAGATAATAGAAAGATTGAGAAATGGTAAGATTACCAAACCAGTTATTGATATGATAAGTTATAAAAATATATGCATTTAAAAAATATAAATAAAGGTAATACAAATGTTTCTTGTTTCTAGTCTGAAGATGACAATAAAGTGGATCCCGAAAGGTTATAGAAATAATGAAAAACAATTTTTTTTTTTAAATTTATTTATTGAATAATAATACAATCAGCCACTTATGGAGGGCTATAAGTATTAGGGTTAAGAGTTCTCATTCATACAATATATACACATAATAGAGAAATAAATATAAATATAAAAAGTAAATAAATAATACTGATGAATAAAGTAAATAAAAGAAGAAGACTCCAGGAGCTCCCAGTGCCACTTTTCCAGCCGCATCACTAGTATTAGAAGCCAGTGGAGACTGAAAGAGGGCACTAGAGCAACAGACGCTCAGGACATGAGTGAAGATGCTGGCCATTGCCAGGACTCCAGAAGCATATTTACAAGAGATCTCTGGGCCACTGCCGTTTTAACCTTCGTGGAGGATTGTAGGGATGAAGGGAGCTGGATAGGGATTGAGCTAGAGGATTTGGATGATGGATAAGGTTCTGGTGAAAGTTTGAGAATCTGGATGGGATGATGTCGAGGACAAATGGTATGTTAAGGTCATGGTGTAGGGTCTTGTTTGTGACATAATATGGAGCATTGACTATTGTTCTGAGTACTTTGGACTGGAAGGATTGGAAGCGTTTGATATTCGAATGTTTAGCAGTCCCCCACAGTCCGAAAAAAATTTGGAGGAGTAAACTGTTACTTAACTATATTCATATAATCTAAATACATTCATAAGAGGAAAACAAAAAAAATAAAATAAAAATAGCATTGCCATTTTATTTTTAAATTTAGAATTTATTTGTTAATTTATATTGTTTTGTTTTTTATAATGTTACATAGTAACAATTCCTGTTACAGTTGAAAGCGGAAACAATATCTTAATCCTCGTTTTACAACCATCAGACTTGAAGCTATTCTTAATCTTTCGGCACAGTATTGATTATACCTCAAAAAAAGAAGCACTAGCATCAAGTACCTGGATATTGACTTGACAGCCAACTTGACTCAAGTACTAACAGGAGAAGGGAGCTTAAACCGATCTCTCCATAAAACAACTTTTAATAAAATGATAGAACATTCCTCAATGAGTGTTAAGAAGATATCTAATTTTACGTAATCTTATTTATTGTATATATATTATTTTTCTGCATAACTTATTTTATTTATTGTACATAGAGTGTGAATGTGATCTCTGAACACTATTATAAATGTCCTTTGAGAATATTGTAATATTTTTCAATAAATAAATTTAAAAAAAAAGAATTTCAATCGAGATATCATAGTTTAACATACATAACTTAATTTAAAAACAAGTGTAATTTTTAGGATGGGTCAAGTTATTCCTAAGTATTAGGTGTAAGAGGTGCTGCAAGGACTTGCAAGTATTTGAAAATACTATGACTGGTACAAATTGGAGGCGTTACTGTTATGGTGTGGGGTGGAATATCTGAGTTGATTTACGGTAAGTTCAGACCTTGTGGTTGACCTTGAGGTAAACTCCTCCTTCTTAAGTCTTCTTCCTACATCACACGCTCTAATTGCAACTCTAGGAATGTTAAACCAATGCTATATGAAACTTAAAAGAGCACCTCTAAGATCAATTTAAATCAATTTAGATCATCATGATAATCACAAAACTAGATTCATATATAAATAAATATATACATGTACAGATATTTCTTTTTTTTGTTTTGCCTATAGGCAATTCGAGTTTGACAGTGTTGATTTATCATATGTCACCATTGCTGAAAACCATGCAATTGTTTTTGGTTTATTTTTTAGAAATTTCATCAGTCACCATTTTATAGTTTATTCAACATTCTTAGTTTCCAACCTTCGCTGTCTGGTAATGTTTCTGAAACTGATCCTCCACGACCTTGTTGAATGTCGGGGACGCATAACGCAGGATTCCGAGCGATATGAATAACTTTAAATAACCTTCAAATAACTAAACTATATTAGCCTTAAATAACTTTTAACTTAACTTACATTTTACTCCTTTTTCATTTTATTTTATTCCTATTATTCACAATCAAAAGATATAATTATATATAATCTCAATTAATGGCGTTGATACCAACATGTTTAACACCTTTACTATATAATAACCGAGCGATTTAAATAAAATCTGAGGTATGCGATAAACATTAAGAATGCAAGAGGCACGACTCGAAATTTCCAAAATCCAAATTTCTAATGGTGAGCCCCCTATGATCCCAAAAACAGACAGCATTCAAATAACAGGACAAACTAATGGGCACAACAGGCAATATACTAGCATCATGATTTAGAAAATACTGTGACAACTTGCAGATAGAGATATATGTTCATAATAACAAAAAAGATTGTTTGATACTGAATGTACGATATGTTTCTTATCTTAAAAAAAAATTCTAAATTATATCAGAAATGAATTTTCACAGTTAACAACACGGGAAAGAAATGTACGTTTACATAATAATTTTACGCTCGATTATTTAAAATCACAATACATTATCAGTAATCCTACAGTTGATAATTTGTTAAACATCCGTTAGGTGCCCAACGAGCATGAAGCAGAATTGAGAGGAAAAACAGATGTTAAGCTGACTTCCATGTCAACCGTGGCTGAGCCAGGATTATCCGTTTAGACATATCTGACAATCCAATGTAAACCCACCAGAAAAAATATATTTATAAGTTATATACCTTTTTGACATAAGAAAAAAAGTTTATATACATTTTACAAAAAATAAATAAATAAACGTTATCCTAAAGGTTGTTTATAAAAATGTAATAAAAATCGAAGTAAGATTCTGTTTATACCGATTCAAAGTTAAGTGTATTTTTTGGAACATTGTTCACAGACGTATCATTTAGTGTTAGCCATGTATGACCCTTTGGAAGTTGGGGCCTGTAAGCAATAATACACACATATTTGTTTTCTCCAATTTTTACTAGAACTAGGATTTTAACTTTTATAAACTGTTTAAAATGTCACACTAATGTAAAAAAATTATCATTTTGGTACCCTTAATTATTAAACCAATTTTGCAGGAATGAGTGTAGTATTATTAAAGAAGCATGAAATAAAATGAAACTCCTAGATTTTAAACGAAATACAATATAAAAAGAAAAATTAATAAAACTTAAAACAAAAATTAATAACATTCCAAATTACTATTATATATCCATAACATTGTGTTAAAATAGTTTTATCATTCATTTTTAGTAATTACCTATAACTCTTCTCCTTTTCCTATGTTATGATATTCAAATATAGTCAAAGATTATATGGTTTTTGAAATTATTAATCTAACGATGTTTGTTTTCTTGTTACGAAAAAGAAAAACAGAAAACACCTCTTTAGGAATGAGGGACCCTAAGGACTGTAAACTTGAACCCATGCTGTGCAACATGAGAAAGCCCTTTGAAGCTCTTAAAGTCGAACACTTTCACTTAAACTAAGGGGTAACGAACAATATGTTCCATTTGATAATAGTTTATGTTTCATCAGAGCTTGAAATTATTCTTAATACTCAAACTACTACTTTTAACGTTATAGTTGAACTACTTATTGTTCTAATCAGCTAGTGTGTGGACTGATGGCCAAACACGTTAGGGGAAGATTAGAGGTGACCGTTGCAGAACGTTCTGGGTTTGATTCCCACCTTTGTTAGTTAATATTTATTTCTCGGTGGTCCTGAGAAATGAATCTTGATACTTCCACTCTGTAGTACGAACCGGAAACTTCTAGGTAGCTATCATGGTTTGGTAAAACTACCAAAAGACTCACATAAAAGATGAGTTCCCCCAATCAGTACCAGTATCAGTATATGCTTATTGCTAATTATTAAACATGTTATTTATGATCTTAGAAAAACGTTACAAAAAAGGTAAATTTGGATGTTTAATTGACATAAACATAGTAACGTATTGGCAAGAAAGATAGTGATATGCCGGCCCCACCTTGAAATGGAAGAGCTGTAGAGGAAAGACAATCTATACAACGTCACAAATCTTTTTTTTTACTTTATTTGTTTATTTATTTTTAAAACAATATGTCACTTGGACATCAGTTATAGTGAGATAGGTTTCACACTATATGTACCAATTATTTAAATAAAAAAATTGATGTGTCCACGCATACGGCTTTCCTACCGCTTTTGGTTTATTATTTTCAATGATCAACCATTCTGATCGACCAATAAATTCAAAAACTCTACTCCCTCTCAAAAGTTGAGGTTTCAAGTTTCAGGATGCGTAGAATTCGCCGTCCGCCGTCAGCGTGTTTTCTCAAGACCACGAATTGTCTAATTAATATGTGTAGGATGCAAATAAATCAGCATATCGCTGAATCCGATCAATGAGTGAATGGAAGGCATAATTGACTGAATTGAAATTTCTTTAGAAAGCTGAGGATGACGAAGATGGACAGAAACTAGAAAATTAATTTTACCAAGGAGGGTAAAATAATTGATATTTACATTAGTATATAAAATACCACATGTATTCAACTACATAAGGAAAAATAAAATTTTATTATACAATTTACCACTTCAAAACAACATATTATTCTCACCAGAGTCGCCCATCGCAAGGTCGATGGCGCAAGAATCTACTCCAACCCTCCTCTTTCAAGATATTTTATTGCTCATCTTTTTTTTAAAACAGAGCAAGGAAAAGAAGAATTTAAAATATCGTAGATCAAATACAATTACACTGCAGTGTGTTACATGTTTTCCCCTTGTCCCTTATTCTGAAAATTTTCTTTCCGAAAATTCATAACCCTGTTGAAATGTACCTCTCTCAAAATCAAAAACCCGTCATAATATACCCCCTTCAAAAATTTTGATCGCCCAACTTGCTCCATAAAACTCCCTTCTGGACACCCCTGATTCTCACAGAGTTAAACTTGTTTTCTATTATTTCAAGGAGTGATAAAACTTAAGGAGACAAAGTTTTCTTTTGTCACTCAGAAGAGTAAGTGTCTCTCATGATAAACTTTCTGATATATTGCACAAGAGAGAACCCCTCGGGAACATGAAGAAACAGGATATCTTTCCTCTGGAGAGTTTGTGCATGGGAGAGATTACGTTTTTTTCGGTTGAATCAAGCTACATCAGATGTTCTGGAAAATTATAGAGATGAGCATTAATGTTATTAAAACGAAAAAAACACAGTTTGATATTTTAACATTAAATATATCTGTTTAAGAACAATGGGTTTTCGATTATTAAGCAAGTTTCTTAGGAGCATTAACTTGTGGACTTTCGCTAATTAAGATGGGTATGGACTTAATTCCTAGAGGGAGCCAACTTGACTCGGCTACATCCTAGTACCTCAAGATTGATGAGATTGAGTTTACCTTAATTAACCGATATTACTATACAAGAACTTATAAATATAACTTGTTAAAAAAAAAAAATACAAAACTAAAAAATCATTTCTATATTTACTTACAATTAGTTAGACAAAATTATTATTTTGCCACTAAACAGAAAAATATAAATCTGAAAATAAAACCATATTTATATTAATACTGTAAATTTAATACTTATTATCGTTCAAAGTGATATGTAGAATTGAAATTGTCATATATTTCATTTATGAAGAGAATTAAACTAGACTTTATTAGCAAAAGCATTCTGACCAAGGCATAATCGTAAGAGAGTAAGTAAGAGAGTGCATACATAATTTACATTAAAATGTACACAAAACTTGCTGTTATTTTAACAAATCCATTTTTTAAATTTAGTCAATTTTAACAATATTTAAGTCATTTTTTTTAGTTCTTCGATTATAAACAGAATAGTAATATTCTAATATTTCGACTGCATTACCTGTTAATATTAGATTAAGTAAATTATTTTTTATTTATAAAAAACGGTTATTGTCATTTTGTGTTATTTCTGTATTGATAAATAAGATTTAAATTCATAAAAACTTTCATAGAAGTTTAAATCCATCAAAAATGTACTTAGTTACCGTTTTTCTTCATTTCATACAAAATTAATTGAAAATAAATAAATCAACAAAATAAATATAAAGTATAAAAAAGCAAAGTCATAAAACGATGTCATAAATAATTTTAAAATAATACTAGGCAATAATGTTGATATCGTGTGTTTAAATATCCCAAGTGATGAAGGGAAGGAGATACAAAACTATCTCAAGTTTAAATAATAGATTTTTCGAAGTTAAAAAGAAACTAACTGGAAATGAGAACTTATTAAAACTTTAAGGAAGTGAGAATGGTTGAAAAATTGTTCGAGCTATTCAAGACAAGTACATAAAAGGAAGAAGAAGAAGCAAGTACAAAGAAGACTAATGGTCAAAGATACTTAAAAAGGATAGAAAGGCACAAGGAGAAAGAAGGAATGGTTCTAAATTGAATGGTAGAGAACTAAATTAAAAATATACCCTAAATATTGGTTTGATTCTGTTTAAAGTATCGTGCTAACGAAAAAAAAAATATATTATTTAATTCCTATTCACGCTTAATTCCTATTCACCTTTTAATTGAAAACGAGCCATTGTGCCAAACTTATTGCATAATTGTGACTTAGCCATTTTTTAGGAAGAAT